TCAACTCAGTTAGCCACCCCTCCTATTTTGTTAAACTTGGAATAGTCCATCGTCAAGTAAAACTATAAAACCGTACCAATCTTTACGTTAAATTTGTCCGGCAAAATGTCTCGCCTACTGGTCCTGTTTGTGCTGGTGTGTGCTCTCTTTGTAGTGGAGTGTACTTTTGCGAAAAAAGATGCTCTGACTGCCAAGGTAAGAACGATTCGCTTGTTAATTCGGCATATTAGAGTTCTTTGAATTTGTATTCAAATGCTGATTATTTATTCGACATACACTTCATTCTCAAATAACCCACATTATTAATCATAGTAAGTGACCTTGGTCTTGAAAATCTGCTTGAAATTTGCTTCTGTGCGCAGATTTAAATTTGCTCTTGAATGATAAATGCTTTCTGCGTGCTACTGCTAGTAGATGCGTTCAATATCGTATCACATATCTTTAAACTTTCAAGTTGAAAAAAAAGTTGAGACATCGACGCAAAGTTTAACGTTGATTTCTCTGAAGAAATGAATATAACCATAACTATTACTTTTTCCTAGAAGCAAACGGCTTTTCGTGGTTATAATGACATTTTCACTTATCTTACAGTTAATGGCAGCTCGAAAACACGTCGCCAACGCCAAACAGGTGAAAGAACTCCACGAAGCTGCCAGACAGCGAGCTCTGCCGAAAAGTGGGAGTAAGTTTGATCTGAAAAAAAGCGGTGGTAACGAAGTAGAGGCAGCGCAGCACATGTCACAAGGAGAGAAAATAGCGGGGAATATACTGAACAACGCAGGAAAGCGAGGCATTGATGTGTTCAGCAAAGGAAAAAGCAGCAAGAAGTCATACGAAGAGGTGTTCTACATGGGGGAGTTCGTCGAGCAAGCCTTTGAAGGATTCGCCATGGCGCCGTGTAGCGTGGGACTATGGCTTTCGCTGATATATACGATGATATGGAAATAGAATCGATCAACTGGGATGAAGTCACGGAAGACGATGTCGACGTGCACACACTGGCTTTCATCAAGTGGTGGACTGAGAACAAATGTACAGAGTTCTTCGAAGCTGGTGAGACATTCGCACGCTTCGTTTGGTCCATCTTCTGGGACGACTTAGCCGAAACTCCATGCGGCCAAAATCTGCCAACGGACCCCGACGGTACCATCGACTGGACCCTTGCTTTCAATAGGATAGACAGCATGAATCCACAGGAGTGGGAGAATATCCCCGAGCCGACCAACGAATGCGAGGTTTTCGAATTGATTGGAGAAGTCTTCATGGATTTCTTCTTCATGGAGTTCTTTGACACATTACCAGACCAATTCCTAGAAGACATGTTCAATGATTTCGGGGTCAATGACCTTATCGATCCTTACTTTGGCTACGGCTACTTCGAATCATCGGCTTCTGATTTCAATCTGGGCGCTGGCCATCATGAGGACGATGGACACGACCACTCTAAGCCCAAACCAGGCGAAAACACACGCAAACTTAAGGAATTTCTTCAGCGCAGTAAAAGCAAATAATTAACTCAGAAATAACTGTTATATCTCCAAAAATAGAGAAATTTTGATTTTGAAATATGGTATATGTCGTTCAATGTATAATGTCACATGTTACTGACCACCGTTCGAGCGCCACCATAGGTCGGATTTCAACATATTTTTGTTTTTATTTTTACAAAATAAATGTGTCTACATCTACTCCCATTGTCACGTGGTTATTTTTTAATTCTCTTCCCGCCATCCAATCACAATCCACCTTTGTGTGATCAGACCTAGTACATATCACGGTAACTCTACCCCTCCAAAAAAAACTCAGTCTGGAAAATTCCTCTCATGCCAACTTGAAACCATCGGCCGGTGATGGGGTAATATAGAACTTCTGATTGTCCCAGTATAATGGCCTTTTTTTTTCTTTCACCGAGAGCGTTATTTCACTTTTTACGACTTCTACACTGACACCCGGCGTCCTTTGCGCGGATCGATCTCTGATCACATGCGCAATGGACGCCGGAAACTAACGATCCCAGCAATCATTCACATCACGGGCATTCACATATTCCTTTGGTAACGAGGCGATACTGTGGCGAGATAGTTGAAATAAAGCCAGGTCAGGTCGTCGTTATTGTTTTGTTCTGTAATCGTCCGCCAATAAATATTAGTGTCGGTTATTGAAAAATTACCTTATTCTTGACGAACGACATTGTCACTGTGACCGGCATTGTTTTCAACTCCTATCGGGTTCGTCATTTCTTACGTCACGTGATCATATTGTCGTTAGAGGGCGCGAGTTGCAGGACGATGTACAATAATACTGAATACCAACGACCAAATCATACAAAATATAAACAAGAAATTAGGTCACCAATACGAAATGTCGTGAAAAGTGGCGAAATTTGATATTTTTACTCTTGTTTTCTATTTTCCTTCTCTTCATGATATGCATCCTCTCGAGACTGTTAAAACTCTTGGTATATGACAGCGACCTCTAGAGGCGGGAACCAAGCTAGTATAATTTTACAATGAACAGATGTATGGTGTCGTACTCATGTCAAAATCAAAACATTACATTCTCACATTAAATATTACGTCATCCATTCAAATCATTCAATGTTTGTATTACAAAAATAAAATAATAATAATAATAATAATAATAATATAACAACAGTATAACACATGAATAAAATAATTCAATTTACGCCATACAGCTAAGTAGCTGCGCTGTTTGCTGGTTCTCAAATCAGTCTGAATAGATCTTCACGGTTTTTTTACCCCGGGTTTTCTACCCGCTCTCGGGATATTGAATATTGAGTCGCATAAGGCGAAGTTCTGAATTTGCCAAGAGCCACCGTGAAGATAGGCTGGTATAAACAGGTCACACACTGTTATTTTGAATAGAGCGTTAGACTTCCAGTGCATCAGTTTTCTACCTACCGTAGTGCACCACCGCTCTATTTCGGCCCTGGCGGTTATTGGACTCTTTCTGAACTAAACAAAATTGTTTGCATTTTCAGTGCATGGAATTCTGAACAGTCACTCAGTGTTAGACTTAATGTTTCAATGCATGAATCATTTCTTTAGCGCCCACTTTGTTTTGACCGCGGGGTTTTGTCGCTATGTATTCAGTCATTAGCCCGTGGAATGTAAGCACTTAGTGAAAACATAGACCTTCTAAGGTCTATGGTGAAAATTACCTTTGAACGTTGGTTAAAATGTGTTTCCGCCCTTTCTATTCAGTCGAAACTTTATAATAATATTTTATTACGTTCTATACGAATTATTCCCAAAACATGTAAAAGAAGACCCCAGCAATGAGGCCTGCCGGGGTAGTCCGCGGTCAAAAATAACGACGTTCGAGGCCGAACAGCAACTCGACGCGACCCGAGTTTCCGATTATATATCGGTTCAGTTCGTATTTGACACATTTTCTTGTAAAATATATTGCGAAGATATGAGACATAAATGAAAACGACATACATCAAGATTCCTATCGCTAAGAAGAACGACTTTTTTCAGAGGGTTCGTGACGAACTTTGCGGCTGTCCATAATCACTCGACAGCCTGAGTAAAGCCACCCTGATACTTGCACGACTTTTGGCCACGATTTTGTCGTGGCAAGTCGTGCCATTTTGGGACACGAACAGGAAGGCTCCCGCACTGTTCACGACTAGTTCACGACGAGTTGACGACGAACTTCCCGCATTGGCACGACGAGTTTGTGCAATTCGGACGTTAGCTGTTCGTGAACTGTTCGTGGCAGTTCGCGACTGTCGTGGCCTGGCGCCCCCTGCCACGCACTGGCACGCATCCTCCGGCATCGTCCCGACGAGTTGACGAACAGTTTGCGCATAGTTCACGACCCGGTCGCGACCAAAATTTTGAACATTTCAAAATTCTCGTCCCGACATGGCACGCAGTCACGACGGGTTTACGCACACTTCACGCCAGTTTACGACCAGTTTGCGCATTGGCACGACTCGAGTCGTGCCAATGCGTGCCACAGAATCGTGCAAGTGTCAGGGTGGCTTAACACTGCGATTTTCAGTTTCAAACATGTTCAAAATTTGACACAACTTATGTGCTATGATGATATGGCGTATTTGTGTGATATCTAGCGCTATTTGTTTTTTTCATTTTCAGGCTACAGACTGCTATGTATATCGCCGGGCACATGAAAACAAATTCTCAAATTTGTACATTATTTTCAGTTGATTGGACAATCGATGAGCGAGCACTGAGCGGCATAGTGTTTTCCAGTCATGTCACGATGCATACGCCACAGTACTCTCTGCACACACAAAAACAGATTACAGATAATGCACGCCAAGTTTTGCATTCCAATTCAACGTACGGTTATCAAACCATCCCTTTTGAAAATTCTCCCGTATGTTCTAACTTCATGTAAACAAACAATGTATTTTACACGTGTTGCACACGTCGCTATGAGTCCCACATCGAACAGGACGCGGCCAGGACCACCGACCCTTTTGGGATAAAACCATCGATGGTGTAGACTTCCATGTTAAAACGAACTGGGTGTCCGAATGCATGTATTTAGAATGTTATGCTAAGATTGCTCAAGTTACTGATGTGTGTTTTATTTACATTGCCCGTATAGAGTGTATCTACGTCAAGTTTTACTTTCCCCCAGAGAGTCTCATATATTAACTCTGTAATCCACGTTTATCTTAAATAGGTCCGTGATCCTATTTCTGTCCACATTGTCCTGTATTTATCGGCATTAGTATGGAAAGCCATGACTGTCTTATCCT